GTAGTAGTAGTATAACCGTAGCATAGCGTAACCACAGGCCCACGGCGCCGGAGGCTCGGAGAGTCCAAAAGAGAAGAAGAGCCGATCGGATCCGATCCTCGGTGGCTGACATGTGATCCTCGCTCGCAGATGACGGCAGGCAGAGTGAGTGGCAGACCAGACAGCACAAGTGGCTGTGCGGTTAGTTGGCGCGCTGCAACTGCTTCCTAATCCACTCGTTTAGGACCCTCCACCTGCACGTCAGTATGTACCCACACCCAGACGGCCAGACAGGCAGACCCAGACCGACCCAGACGCCGTGCGGCCGTGATGGTGCCTGCCTGGTGTGAATGAAACGGGCGGAAGCGCGAACACGTCCTGCTGGCGCGTGTGCCGTGTGCAGGCGCCAGTCGCCGTTTCCTCGTCTCTGGCTTTGAATTTCCCGGCCGCTCGGTCAGTTTCCTTTCCACTCGTTCATCTCACGACTGCACGCAGCACGCGTGACGCGCCTGCTCACAGCACGCGCCGCCGTCGAACGGGATGGGTGGCGCTTGCCGCCTGGCGCGGGCGCCCGGCTCGCGGATGCTTAGCCGCGTTGGCCAACGCGAAATCGCGAACCCCGTCCCGGGAGCTTCGGAAAACGCGTTTACCTAGCAGAGAAACGACACGAAGCGAAGCGGATAATCGCTCCGGTTGAACGATTCAACCTTTTTATCCCTTTCCCGAGGGGTTCAGGTAGTAGGCTAGTAGTACTAGCTACTCCCTTCATCGAAAAAACGAAAAACAATAATTCTAGATATGATTCGAACAGAAAGGATGTGTTTGAAACATGACTTACGGTCTCATCTAAGTTGAACCACCGAGACTGGTTTTGCTTGGTTTCATCAAAATTCAGTTCGTTCATCATCATCTTGTATCTTTCGAGCATGTGGCAAGTGGGACAAAATGCTACCGGTACAAATCCCCAAGAGACAAGATGGCACTATTTATTGCACTTACCATGTGCTTTCGTTGAAGATATCAAATGGCTATGGACCAATCTAATCTGGTACTGTAATAATGTTCCGAAAATATATATCGAGCTAGCTAATCGTAGCTAATATACAAGGGTCCATCCTATTTTTACCACAAAGATACGGAGATAATGCCAACTGGCATTCTCTTTCAAGAGAACCACATGCCTTGTCTAAGTGCGTGTCAGAGGAAAAAAAAAGATAATCAGCCTGTTCTCTTGCTCGTATACGATCGTAGATTATAAGCTGGAACCGTATTTTCTCTCACACCAAACCAGCTAGCAGTAAATAATCCACGATCGTTTACGGCCTGCCGAACAGGCTGAATGCTCCACCAACCATTTCACACTTTTTAGGGTCTTTTAGATATATCTACTCCCACCCAACACGTGTGGGTTGACAAGAAAAATAACCTAATTTCTCCTACGAGTTTAGTTTACATAAGAAATAGAAATCGAACCCACAATAATTGAAGCATTGTTACGGCCTCATCCAAGATTGAACCATGAGAGCATGTTTTCGACCCCCTTGTTCAAATTCAGCCGCACGCATGTTGCCTCATCCAAAACATGTTTGAATTCGATTGCACACATGTTTGCCAACATGCTTGCTTTTGGACGAGTGGAATCGAACGATGCTCCTAACTACTCAAAAAGTTTGGTTTCATGATTGGAATTCAAATGGAAGATGCCTTTGTTTTAAACAGATGGTTGGAATTGAGTTACATGGTTACATCCATCACATCTTAGGGCTTCTTTAGTGGAAAAGATAAAAGCGATGCATCATCCGAAATGGATTCTCCAAGAATCTAACCAACGACCGGAGAAAAGCGAAACATGGAAGAGAAAGAAGAGTCGGTTCATATATCGGAGTCGATCTCGATGAATAGAAAATGGATTCCACCCACCTGCCATAGGATATGTGGTTGGAGAAGAATCGTGCAGTTTTTTTATTCTTTTGTAAGATCCATGTTGTCTTTTGGCTTAGGAATTGATTCCACCATTTCGAGTACGTGGTTGTCCTTGCGATTGATAAACCGACCCACCACTGTGGTTGTCCTTTTATCGGTATGATTGGAACTGAGTTGATCCATCACCATTTTATCTCTTTGCAATCATGTGATGAGCAAGACAACATATTACCACTATAAATGTTCAAGAGATAAGATGACGTCTTTATTGTACGAGCTATATACTCTGAAAAGGTAAAAATAGTGAGGTAAAACAATTATATATATGGCCCACACTCAACAACAACAAAGTTCTTTAGTCCCAAACAAGTTGGGGTAGGCTTTCTTTTGGGTTTCATCTCCATAAGAGTAGCTAAGTTTTTACATTGGCTCACTAGGCATATAACACAACCATCATCCTTTATCTGGGCTTTGTGACCTGCTATGTTGGAACACCAAAGGTGCCCCACCATAGGCGGAGCTATATATGACCCACACTATCTTCCAAAATAGATAGTGTGTTAGCTATTTGCACCTAGGATAGAAACCGTCCATCTTACTTCAATTAAACGACACCGAGTTCATGTCACAACTCTTTTTCACCATATTACTCTTTCAAGGTGTGTCGGGATAAATCCATTTTCAACCAATACATATGATTCTATGAATTTGAATTAGAAAGAGAAATAAACAAAAATTTCTCCCAGTTCAGTTCAATCCATTCGATCCACATTAGAAATAAGGTTTATCCACACAATCACGCAAGTCGGATATTTGTTTTCCTTGTCTATAGATAATGCTCTTGATAGGGCGTTCGTTCGTCCACGGACCCTGTGCGCCCCCGCTCGTGGAACAGGCCCTGCTAGCGCCGCCCTCGCCTGCATCGCTCAGTCGCTCTACGCGCCCCTGCTCACGGGACAGACCCCGCCCTCACCCGCGCCGCCCCTACGCGCCCGCGCTGCGTTCCCCTGCCTAGACTCGTGTCTCCCGTCATGACCGTGCTCCATCTGCCTGCCACAGCCCCTGCCCGGTCCGTGCCACCGACGAGCTCCACACCGGCGACCTCCACGCCACTCCATAGCATCGAGCTCTAAGCCAGCGTCGAGCTCTGTGTCGACGAGCCTCCATTTTTGTCCCAGCAGCAAGAAGATGTTGTAAGAGTTTGTTTCAAGTGTTTTAGATGTTTCAGAGGTATGTTGCAAGTGTTTCTTATGGATGTTGCGAAAGTAGATCGAGATGTTGCATATGTTACAATGGTTGTACACATATGTTGCAAGTTTTTATTCCCAATGTTTCATCTGTTTTTTCAGACGTTAGTTGTAAGTGTGTTTATCTGGATGTTGCATATGTTTCACATATATGTTTGCAAGCGTTTTATCTAGATGTTGTGTATATTTTTGAAATGGTTTCAAGTGTTTTTAGGTGGTTTTGTAAGTGTTTCAGATGCATGTTTCAAGTGTTTTATATGCCTTCAGACGTATGTTGCAAGTGTTGTATCCAAATATTTTAAAAGTAGATCGGGTATTGTATCTCCCTCCTCGCCTTCTGCTGCCTCACCTCGGTGTCTCCTCCTCCTCCTAGCATCGTCTGGGCATCCGTCGCCTCCTCCCTCTTTTCTTAATGCTCGTGACGTTTGGAGCACATGGGTCCCACGTGGGCGCGCGAAACGGCTCGGGAAAAGGTCCTTCCGAAATCCCTTCTGGACGCTAGCAAGCCCACTTATCTTTTTTTTTCGAGGAAAGCCCGCTTGTCTATCTATAAAAAAATCCAAACAATCACAACTGTGCTCTCAATAGGGGCGGATTTTGTCTGCGGGACTGGGGGCTCGAGCCCCCTACTGCGGCCGCGCCCATAGAACCCCTTGAAATTTTAGCCATGGAAGAAGGTTGTGAGGGGCTTGAGGTTGAAGACGATGGCAGGAGCTCCCCCCAGGATCCGCCACTAGCTCTCGAACGGGAAGAATTGGGTTGAATGAATCTATGTTTGTCGTGGCCCAGCCTGGATGTTGTACATGGATCGCGGCCTCGCGCTTGCGGGATATGTTTGGCGGAAAAAGTCTACATACCTCCCTCAACTTTTGCGAAAGTCGATTTTCCCCCCTGAACTCTAAAACCGGGGAAACCACCTCCCCCAACTTTTAAAACCGTTCGTTTTACCTCCCTGACCGGTTATAGACGGTTTTCAAATGCATACAATAATTAGTTCATCATAAAAATTTCACCACAATTGGACTATAGAAACTGCGGCTATGAATTAATTATAGATCTAAAGCTTAAAAAAATTATACTAAAGCAAACTATATTATATGTTTACTGTGTACTACTCATGTTTAGTCCAACAAAACTAGATTTTTTATTTTATGTTTACTATGATTTTTTAAAGATTCAGCCAAAATAAATAAAAAAGAAAAAGACAAAACTGTCTTTGAAAACCGATTATAACCGGTCAGGGAGGTAAAACGAACGGTTTTAAAAGTTCAGGAGGTGGTTTACCTGGTTTTAAAATTTAGGGAGGAAAATAGATTTTCGTAAAAGTTAAAGAAGGTAACGTGGACTTTTTTTCTTATTCGGTAAAGCAGATTTCCGCACCAAAACTACTATATATATATATATATATATATATATATATATATATATATATATATATATATATATATATATATATATATATATATATATATGGCCCATTAAGATCCAAATCAACATGGCCTTTCGGAAGAATCGGGGCCCAATGTCCGCTTGACAGGCTGGGCCACCCCGCGTTCTTTAACACCAGGTGAACGGCTTCGGAGCCGAACCCGCCGGCCCGCCAGAGACCTGGGCGGCGATGTTGAGGGCGAAGGCCGCCGACCCTAAGCGCCACTACGTCGCCGCTCAAATCCTCTATCTACTCTGAAGATTTGCGACGACCACTCCATCGTAAGTGTCCTGACGGCCTCTTCCTCTCCCACTATTTGCGCAAAATTTTATTTCTCAAATTGTGTTGCGTTTGACACTTTATGTCATCCTCGATCTGCCTGTATGAAGAGTGAAGGCAATGTAGGGATAGTTTGTCGAAATATGGTGTCAGCTCCATCCAGCTCTAATTTTACGCAGATAATACAGTACAATATTCAGGTGTTAGGGATCAGGACTTGCGACCGTCTTATCAGCAATGAGCCAAGGAGTGACTCTGATGGTCAAGGTATGCACATTCCGCGTCTGAAGTTTCAGAATCGGTCATCCAGAACTGGCTATTGGGGAGTCATCCCAGCTAAGTTCTTGCTTGTTGTTTTGTCGTGCATGTACCTATCAAACTCTTTTGTCCTAACCTGCTAATGACATTTTTTACAAATTAAAATATTATTTACTTCTATAGCAAGCTACGCGTTCAGGCGTGGCATCTCGCAATAGTCAAATTCAATCACGTAAACAAGTACTGAACTCTTCAGTATTGTCGTCTAAGCCAAGATGTCAAACAAGATAAACCCTATATAATAGCATCATGTTCCATCATCATATCAAACTAACAGTTTTGTTTTTCTATCATCACACGACATTACCTAGTTGACCAAATGGTTCTGTTGAAAAGAGGAGCATTAGCGATTCCTGGCTTGCAAAAGGCACGCAATTACCTGTTTGACCTGCATTCATATGTGCCAAGCATAAAAGCCTGATGTATTGTGTGTGTTGGTAGTAAGGTACTAGCTTCCTGATTAACATCATGCATTTCTGCGTGTTTGGTTTCCTGAAGAGGCACATCATCAAGCAAATAGGTGATATGATGCTTTCTGCCTTATTCTTACATGCATCTGAGCTTCTATGGTCTTCAGTCTTCTTGTTCTCTTCTTCTTTCTTTCTTTTCTTTTTATTTGTTTTTTTATGAAGTTATGTCCAAAATTGACAAACGAATAACCTTATACGCACTTGATAAAGATGCTTTCTTCTTTTTTATCAGCATATTTTTCAATCCATTCTAACGCTGTAACTTTCCAAATCCTGCTGTCGCTCAGATTATGGAACTTGCACGTTGATATTTGATTTAGTATCAGTGTAATTTCCATGGCAGCACATTTTAGAAGTAACTGTCATTGTTTTATTTACATGGATTGTTATGTAGGTTTGTTGAATGCTCCAAACAAAAAGGAGTATGTTTGTCACTTTGTTAACTTTTCACTAAATTGCAGGCTCACGGAGAACACGGAAACCATTATTTCAGATTGCTAGAGAAGATAGATCAACATCAGCTGCAGATGATAACATATACGAAGATGATTCGGTGAAAAGATCAATTTTGAGCTCACCATTAGTTGAATTCAGCACTGTTTATTCAGCAACGAACAATTTCAGTGAAAAACTTGGTGAAGGTGGATTTGGTCCAGTTTTCAAGGTGGAGTATTGGAAACTTCATATACTTCCTCCAACTGTTATGATATGGTTGAGTTTGTTTAATTAATTCTTTTCATCTGGATAAGCATAGTGGATACTTGATGGTATCTCCAGGGGATACTACCAGATGGCCAAGAGATTGCTGTTAAGAGGCTATCTAAAAGCTCCGGGCAGGGATTGGAAGAGTTCAAGAATGAGGTGACGGTTCTATCCAAGCTGCAACACAGGAACTTAGTGAGGCTTTTTGGTTGTTGTATTCATGGAGAAGAGAAGATGATGTTGTATGAATACATGCCCAACAAGAGTCTTGACTCATTTATTTTCAGTAAGTTTCAGTTACTCGCAGTTCTGATTCTATACGAATACTTTATACAGTAAATGAATTTTTGTATTGACCTTTAATACTTACTATAAATTTTTCAGATGAAAGTAAGAGACTTGTATTAGGCTGGAAATTGCGATACAAGATTATTCAGGGAATTGGAAGAGGGTTACTGTACCTTCATCAGGATTCCAGGCTGAAAATTATCCATAGGGATCTCAAAGCAAGCAATATTTTACTAGATGATGATTTCAACCCCAAGATATCAGACTTTGGCATGGCTAGAATTTTCGGTGAACACCAGCTTCAAGACCTTACTCGTCGAATTGTCGGCACCTAGTAAGGCTGCTTTTCTCTTTTTCTCGCTACAGCATATAGCTGAACAGGGAGTTCCATTCCATTGCATTCATCTGCTTCTGTAATGGTTGTTTTAGTGCTGCTCAGTAATTGCATCTTCTTTATAGTAACCTTTCTAATCTTACTGCTTTATTCGGATAATAGACAAATTAATTCCAATTCTACATAGCATCACCTGGCAACAAGCTAATCTGATAAAATCTGTGGAACGCAGTGGCTACATCTCCCCGGAGTATGCAATGGAGGGTAAATTCTCTGATAAATCTGACGTCTTCAGTTTCGGTGTGCTGGTCCTAGAGATTGTGAGTGGACGCAGGAACAGCTCTTTTGTCGATGATGAATGGTCAATGAACCTCTTGGGCTATGTAAGAGAACGCTGTCTCCCCCACTCACCCTACTTGTTGTCAAATCAAAACTAGAGAATATCCATGAACTTTTTGCTTGCCAATTGCCTTATCTAATTCACAACGTATGTTCCAGGCATGGACCCTGTGGAAGGAAGGCAGTGTCTCAGAGCTTATCGATCCGCTTATGGGAACAACATACACTTACGATGAAGTCTGCAGATGCATTCAGGTGGGTCTCCTGTGCGTGCAGGAGTTACCAGCTGAGAGGCCAACCATGTCCCTGGTGCTCAGGATGTTGAGTGGTGACGTTACGATTCCGTCTCCGAAGCAAGCTGCATCTTTTGTTGGAAGGTCTCCTCGTGTTCCTGCGGATGACAACAATACCGAATCAGGGAATCAACTAACGTACACGGATCTTCAGGGCAGATAGTCTCACTGTCTCAGGCTGCCCAAGTTTCACACTGCATTATCGTCTTCCTATTACCAAGTATGTTCAGAGAGTATATTTATAAGCAGCAGGGGGCAACTCCAGCTGATCCCTCAAAAAAAAGTTTGTACGGAATGCTTAGTTCAAAATATAGTACTGTATTTGGGTATAGATTTACTTGTAAGTTGTATCTCGTGAACTGTATTCGTATTTGAGAATCCTGAGTGCATGTGTGTATATGTGTACACTATGACATATGAGATTCTTGTGAAAATTGGTATCCTGCTGTTGTGTGGATCGCGGATCAGATGTGATGCCCGGGCCCTGGTCCTGCTAAGAACTGCTCGTCCTCATCTTTCTCGAATCAAGTAGCATGGCAGGCGATGTCTTGCCTTTGAATTTTACCATCTGTCGAACGCCTTGCTACCGGACATGTGGACGGTGGTACCTCACGTAGTGGCGATCGGCCGGCGGCGGCCCGGCCACCGGGCCCTATCGAGTATCGACGCAGAGATAGAGACGAGCGATTCTGCCAGAGAACTGTGGGTGTGGCACGGCGACCTGAAAATGTATCGCACGGGGCCGTGGAACGGCCACTAGTTCAACGGCGTCCCGGAGATGTCTCGTACGCGGACATGCTCGCGAACCAGCTCAGGCGCTCAGGCTCAGCTGGCGGTTAACCCCGGCAGGCGAGATCACATATGGGTTATGGCGAGCAACCATGCCAAGGCCGGGGCGTCCTTAGATTGCCGCGTGTCGTGGTGACCGAGAACGGCGCGATCGATCGATGCCGCGCCTGGTCTGGGACCAGATCCAGCAGCGGGGCGTGGAAGACGTTCTAGGGCGCGCCCAGGGGACGTGCGCGACGCGTGTGCAACGTCAACGCGGCGTCCACGTTGTTCTGCAGCTGCGGCGCTGCGCCAAGCAAGGGGCGTCGCCGTCGGGGCTGGCGCATGAGGGATGCGTCATGCTGTAACTGTAAGCACAAGCAATAGATAGTCAGATAGATGCAGAAGAACGAGAAGAATGCAGGATAGGATAGTTCGGAAGAATAGCTTTAGAACAAAGGAGTGCTTACAACTGGTTGCTCATGATAATCCTCATCTCCTTCTCTTAGGGCTACATATAGCTCTCGTACACACCACGTTTCTCCAGCTGGAATGGGCCAAGCCCACTCTGGGCCCTGGACTCTTGAGCTGGGCCTTCGCTCCCGCGAGCCGCGCCGTGGGCTGACGTCGTGCACACCACCTTGGGCGACGTCGTTCACACTTGCGCCACGGTGTGATGACGATGCAGAGCTGCTGACACATGCGTTGCTGTTGGAATGCGGTCAGCGGGTAAGGGAACGACGACGGACGTGGTTCCTGGTGGTGCGGGGCATTGGGCTAGAGGAGAGGAGTGCACAGGCCGGGCAAGGCGCCTCAGTGAAGCAATTGTTTGTGCGTGCCTTGTGGATATCTGGTGCATGAACAAAGGGCTGCATCTCAGGGCAGATACATCGCTACATGTAAAAAGTCTTAAAATAACTATGAAGCATCTCTTAAGTTCCATCTATTTCAAAAGCGGAAAGCAAAAAGACAAAAGTAGGATCTAAGGTGCTGCGAAAATTGTAACTACTCCCTCTATACCTAAAAAAGAGTCATTCTCGCTTCAAAAAAATTAACAGCCTTTAACTTTGATCAAATATATTTAAAAATATATTAATATTTATGGTACATAATTAGTATTAATAGATAGATCGTTGAATATACTTCTATAATAAACTTATTTGGAGATATAAATATTGCACACATTTTTTTATAATTTTAGTCAAAGTTAAGAAAGTTTGACCAACACGATTCACATAGCGACTTTTTTTTTACGGATGGAGGGAGTACTATGTAAAAACAACTGCTTCTAGAAAGCAGCTTTAGGTTACATATGTTTGGAAAGCGGTTAGAGGTAAGGGGACACGATGGATGGCAAAATTCAAAGGCAAGACATTAAAATGCAGCAACTTAGTTGAACCGGATGCCACAAATTACCCCTATGGTTATCTAACTTAGCTAGGTTGAATAATATTTTATACCTTGAACATCCATGTAATATGAACATTTGTTGGAGTGTAGTAGTGGCAAAATCGGTGCTGTAAATTTCTCTTTAATATCCAAGCAACATTTTTACCACACTTCGGATGCACTTGTACGGTAGTTTTTGTTTTGAGCAAACTTAAATGGATGTCGATGGACCGTAACATTGCGGCTACTCTTGTCCGGTAGTAAAAATGGATGCTGGTGGAGTGGTGGGTAAACCGTGGCCCGGCCAACACTTCTTTTGTTTTTCATGACCGACCGTGCCTTGGCACGTATAGCCGACACTTCTTTTGGGCTTATTTGCATGTGGCCTGGCCATAAGTCAGTCACTGATTTGCTTTCTTGACTTCCATCCATCACACTGACACAAGAGAGTGCAAATGGAACGTTTTTTTTGTATTGACATCGCTGCAGACTTGCAAACAAGTCGATGATTGACTGACATGCATGTAAACGGGAAAAGAACCGCTGATTTGCTGTTGCAACTGCAACTGTGCAATGCTACCAATCGTGTAGCAGTAATCACTAACCAATACGGTGATGGGATCCAAGTCTGAGATCAGAAATTGGCAACCGCGTGCAGGGGTTGCTGTTTGGCGCGCTTTCTGCGCCAGGTCCCACCTGGGCTTGCTTCGTCGTCTACGTGAGATAGATGGAGGCGTTGGCCAAGGCAGCCTGGTTCCAGGACGCCGTGTCTCCGTTTACTATGCTAGGATCAATCCTATCTTGCAGTTTAGTATGAAAATTTGAACTACTTGAAAAAAAACCGAAATGCTTAGGAAGCAACTACTGATTCTAGCAAGTTAACTGATGTTATATGCATGTTATGTTACCTACTGATTCTACTGCACTTGAATTGAAACAGGTAGACGAGGGGGTCAAGTTTCAGTCGTCATACTCTGTCTGTACTAGTGTCGGATTTGTCTGGTCGTCGACGAACACTTTTGTGGTGTCAAAATCTGCAATCTTAGCTCTCCAACTTTCATCCAAAAGTATATTGGATGGTTTCAGATCCCTGTGTATCACTTCCTGTCCATGCAGATAAGCAACGCCTTTGACGACCCCTACAATTATCTCCAGCCTTCGCTTCCAATTCAACAAAGCACGGTGCTTGGGATCTCTTGCTGTCAGTGACGCAGAGAGCAGATCAGCACTTTGAAGTATCAGAACATTATGATCATGCATTTATACAGATATCAATAATCTGTGCATTATAAATCATGCAAGTACCGAATATGTATAGGTTCAAGCTCCTGTTCTCCATGTACTCATAGACTAGTATCCGCTCATTTCCATCCTTGCAATAAGCAAGGAGACGAGCAAGATTGTCATGCTTGAGCTTTGACATCACTTCCACTTGTCTCATGAAAGTCTCACCACCTTCATCGGTAAGATAAGATCGTGCGAGGCTCTTTACTGCAACCTTTCTACCATCAGTTAAAATCCCCTGGCAATTGCACAATTATGTTAGCTGTGCACGTTGAACGGTAAAATATACTAATTCTAGTCCAAATGAGGTGTGACTATGAAATACACCTACATGCAGTCAAGATGAAAACCTTTTTAGAGTTCCTTCAAGATGAAACTGTAACTATGCCTATGCTTCGATTATTTATCTTAATTTATCACTTCAATAACGATACTAGTATATAACTATATACTACATACTACTAAGTATTCTACTATATGTCATTATAGCGCTTGATAACATATACTAACACGGACCTCAAATACGGCGCTGAATCCTCCACGGCCAATGACATTGTCTACAGAGAAATCATTTGTAGCTCTCCTCAAAGCAGACAATTCAGCAGAAGGCACGTTGAGAACAGGACTAGGCTGTCCAGCAGAAGCGACTGACGGAGGTCTGCGTAGTTCAGTAGAAGGGACACTCTGAACAGCTGGAAAACTCAACAGTCAACACATATGTTAGCATGGTGTGTCGCCCTCTTTTGGTAATTTTAAAATGTTCAAAGTTAAAACAAACAATTGGGTCAGTAATTTTACCTGGGATTATAGGTTGCCGGCGCCTCCTAAGCACAGTTACGACCAACAAAACAGTAAGAATCACGGCAGCGACGGCGGCTGCGGATGCACCGACAACTGGTGCAGTAGGAAATGGCCGCCGCCGTGGCGAGGGCGCCGGCGGGAGCTCAGACTTGGCCAGCCTCAGGTAGAGATCTTGCCCTTTGTCCACGTATCGAAGGTCGATGATATCATCCGTCCACATCACGCAGCCGCTGAGGACGTCGCCATCGCGGATATCTGCGGCGGCGTAGGCCAAGCACGAGCAGTTGGCGAGGCACCTCGCCATGCAATCCTCCACCGTGATGCTCATGTCCACCGTCGCGTTGTGCGTGTCTGGTAGCTTCACTCCGTGCACCAACAGGAAACCGTCCGTCGTCGTCGTCGTCGTCGTCGTGCCACTCCCATTACTGGTACAGTCCAGCTTCACGTTCCGCTTGCATCCGCCCGAGGTATCCCTCAAGGACCACGCCGGCGGCGACGCGGGGCTGAGCCCCGTGAGGCAGCTGCAGAACGACGTCGACGCCGCGCCGGCGTCGCACAGCCCGAACGCCCCGCACTTGCCAATTGCCGTAGGCGTCGCACACGTCTCTTGGCTGATTTTTTTTTATATTTTAGCCCTTTTTTTAAAAAAAATCACAAATATGTCTTTGGAGGTATGATTTCAAAATCTGGGCCCTTAGCTCGGCGCCATCGTTGCTGGCGCCGAGGTCTTGGGCTCGACGCAGACATGGCGGTGACTTGGCAGGCAGCTCGGCGCCGTAGATCTTGGCGCCGTGGTTATTGGTGCCAAGCCTGTCTTCGGAGCCCTCCCTTTCTCTCTTCCTCTCTCTCGCCCCCGAATCAGCGCGCCGCCGCCGCCGCCCGTGTCCTCGCCCGCCCGCGCCCTTGCCCGCGCCTGCGGCG